CCCACTGCTGAACCAAGCTGGTAAATGTTCTCGAACCCGTAGACGAACCTGCCTAATCGTGCGCCCTATATAACTTGAACCACAGGAACAGTTGAAATGGTATATGCATGAAGAAGAGCTAAGGTTAGGTAAGACATCTTTGAGTTGCTGGGTGAACATTGGACGGCTACTGAAGGATAGACACAGACGTGCAGAGTAGAAAGTTTTCTTGATCGCCCTGGTTAAACGTTGCGATAGAATCTCCGCAGGAGTATCTCCCTTGAATTGGAGACGTAAAAACAGAGGCTTTTTCTCCACCGTTGCCAGTTCATGTTTACGATTATTGCAACCTATGTTGGCTTTAATGAACTTCTCTGGATATCCGTTCTCGCTTAGAATGTCTCGGATGACCTGGAGTCCTTTCTCTACACAGTCTTCGGAACAAATAGACCTCGCTCTAAATGCTAAGCATCTGATCAGATTACGTTTGTATTTCATCGATACAAAGCTAAGGAAGTGTGTATACTGAGCTTTGGTCTCTAGCTTTCTAAATATGGTTCTTTTGACGGAACCATCCTATCTTCTCGTTAGTAGGACGTCGAGGAAGTGTAGAGAGTTGTTGCGTTCTCCTTCGTAGGTGAAATGGACCGCTGGGTGAGAATTATCGAGGTTGCTCAAATCACTACTTAACCCTTCATCGTACACTACAAAAGTGTCATCCATGTAACGACAATACATTTCCATATTTGCTATTTCCTCTTTCAACGGACTATTTTCTAGTTTTGCTAGAAATATATTCGCGAAAATAGGTCCCAGTGGGGATCCCATGGCTACTCCATCAACCTGTCTGTATATTTCATTATTAAACAAGAACTGAACATTTGCTGTACATTTAACAAGTAGTTGTTTCAGATTACTAATCGGAATATCAGTACACAATTTCTTTTCTATAATCTGTTCGCAGATATAATCGATGGTTTCCACTAGAGGCACATTAGTGAATAGAGATGAAACATCAAGTGATGCCATGTATTTGCCAGTTGCGTTCAAGTTTTTGATCTTATCAATAAATTGAAAGGTATCCTTGACGCTATGCTTTACTAACTCGTCAACAAATATTATATTTTATAATTGTAAGAACCTGAAGAGAAATTATTGAAAAGAATATTCTTCGTTCACATTGACTTTTAATTCATAATATGGGAATTTTCCACACTATCAAACCATTAGAAGTGTTAGAGCCAGTAAATCAAAAAGGGATCCACTAGATTTTTGAACATATTCTCAAAAAGCTGACACTTAAAGGTTCCAAATCCTTTATTGGTGCAATCTCTCGACAGAAGGACTATTTCCAGGTTTTCAATGAAGAAAGTAAACATATTACCACTTTAAATTAATACTTCTGCTTTCTATGCTATTCCGGATTTACTGTATTTGAATGTTGCAATAAATGAACTTAATAATTCCTTCTTCCAAATTCTAGTGAGTACTTGAAGTTATCAAACATTTAGAAATGATATTTTAATAATTCCCACTGTAACATTAAGAACACAATATTCAGCGAAGAGACTCTTTTCAACACGAATTTATTCTCAAGCTGTACAATCATGTATATATTCATACATCTCCTGAGGAACTTTAGACAAAGGTGTGAATATTTAAAATAATTATGTGAAATGTGATAATATGTTCGTGATTATAATCATAGTTCAATATCAATTGATAAAACCAGAAAAGGAATCTGAACTAACTATTCCTTTACTTGATGTGTACCACACTAAACTTTACGACAGATCTCTTAGAACTCCATCCACTGAAAACGTACATGGAATGGACAACGAAGTAATTTCTGTAGTTGGGTACTTGCTTCCAGGAAAAGAAACCTGGTTCATTCGCTCTGCGATAGGATAAGTAATATTTGTAGTTTTGACTGAGTGACGCAGAACTTTCTTCCATGAAGGCCTCGCTTCCAGGAAATGACTATCCAGACTGATTTATTGACAAAAACACAAAAGATAAGCAATACAAAATGGTCATCGACTCAGTTCTAATGCAAACTGTCTTAATGAATCCGGAACTCAAAGGCTTCAGATATACTTATAAATTTCCTTTCTGAATAAGTCACTGAGACGTTCTTTGCAGTGAGACTCTAATTAATCTTCACCAGCTGTAAGTTGTTCTCTGTCTCTATAACAGATGAGCTCCCTCGTCTGTATTATTTTTATTATTATTGTTTCCTTTAATTCCTAGAGGAACATAGGGCTTCAGCCGTGCGTCTCCATTGCGTTCGGTTCTCTGCTAGAGTCTTCACCTGGCTCCAAGTCTGCCCACACGTTTTCATCTCCTCTTCACATGACCTCCTCCAAGTCACACACCCTCGCACTGACGACCAACTCGCCGCTTCCCTTTCGAGTTCCACTCGAGGGCTAGTCTAGTAATGACACTTGATGGTTTGTTTTCTCAGAGTATGGCCAATCCATCTCCATTTCTTCCTGCCTATTTGTTTCACAATCGGTTCCTACTGGGTTGGTTCGCTCCCAGAGATCTCTGTTGCTGATCTTTTCTGGCCGGCCATCTGATCTTGATTGGTATTGAGCGAAGACAACTGTTAATGAAGGTCTGTAGTTTGTTTGAGATTATTCCCTCGTCTGACGACTCCTCTATTCAGCTGTCAGCTCACCTGCTTTCCTGGAGCAAAGTACATTGGCCACAAACACAGAATGCTTTCCATACAGATACGTGAGCACATTCGAGCATGGTTTTACAAGGAAGAAAGGAAGGGTTTGAGAAAGTATATTCTAGAACTTCTTTCATTCTGCCAACTCCAACCATGTATCGAATTTATACTAACTTACCGTGTTTTCTTCATTCGAAACTTCTAAAGACAGCAAAGGCAAAGTCCACTCATCAATACAAGTCAGATCTTTGATTACAAAAGAAGAGCTTTCAGTCTTTACTTCTACCTTGATCGTATAGGGAAAAATATTTAATTATTTTCCGTTTCGTTTATTTAATCTATGTACTTTTCTCTTAATACTACAATTGCTATTATTTCATCTTTTCACTCTGAACTGTTTCGCATATTATTTCACTTGTTCCATTTATCATTTTAAGCCAGTATATTTTTTCCAGTGTTAAATTCTATCTTATCTACCTTCTCGCCATGTTACTTAATGTTTTAATCGCCTATTAATTCTATAATTTTGCACCCCGTTTCAAAGATGTATACATTCTATGAACTATTCTACATATGACATTATTTGTTTTGTCATTTGATATTGAACTATGATTATAATCACGGGATGTAGTTTCTTAAAATGTATATATATATATAAGAATATAAAGCTTGATAATAAATTCATTGAAGAGAGTATCTTCGCTGAATATTGTGTTCTTAATTACGATTTTTTTTTAAATACTTTGGAAAAGGAGTATCTGTTAATCAGATTTTTCAAGTAACTGGTAATAATGACAAAATAATTTTGAATGTATTAACTTTAGAGTTCATTCTGAATAAATCCAACTGCGTACTTCAAATAGACTATATTTTCTTTACCAAACACCTGGGGAATTACCCTTGTATGTCTAATTGATATGACTTTGGGATCTAGGAGTAACTGATTAAGTGAACAAATTAGCATAATTATTAACTTTTGATATTTCCCCTATTATTATTATTCCCTTGCGTTCCAAGTGGAACATAGGGCTTCAACAACACATCTCCACTTTCGTCTGTTTTCTGCCGTCCTCCTCATCTAGGTCGATGAGTGCCCATAATCTCTCATCTCATCCTCACACGATCTCCTCCATGTCACCCTCACACCAATGACCCACTCGTCGCTTCCTATTTGGATTCCACTCGAGCACTGGCCTGGCGTGCGATTTCATTCGGTGGCCTCCTCAATTTACGCCCGATTCATCTCCATTCTCTCCTACATATTTGTTGGGCGATCGGCTCTCACTTGTTGGATTCTTCCCATAGTTTCTTGTTGCTTATTCTTTCTGGCCATTTGATCTTCAGTATGGAGTCAGCGAAGTGGGCAGCTGTTGATGAAAGTCTGCAAACTGTTGGAAATCCTTTTCCTTTTCCCCTAGATGTCCCAGAATTCACAGAAATCTCAACTGTTATACACACTCAACTCAAAAAGTTCTCTGTTTCGAGCTTTTCTTAAATGGTAGTGTAAATATCTTTCTAGTATTTTAAGTCTAAAATAATATGGATGGCTTTATATACTATGAAGTACTGATGATTCTCCCCCAACATCAATATTCAAACCAAATCAACACTATCAGTAGACAAAAAAAGTGTATTGGCAAGTAAGTAAGCAGGCAAGCACATGAAACTTTTCAATGACATGGATATATACGAAAATGATTTTTTTTGAAAGAAGCATTAGAACAAAATATTAGCAGAAAGAATGTTAATAAGAAGTCAGTATTCAGTAAAAATTAGCTGTAGTGTTTAACTACTTTCATTTTAGAAAGTAGTATATTATTTAAACAATAAAATATTTAAACGGAGGTATGAAATAACAGACTGTAAGTGGATATTATGACTAGGTAAAACAGAGGGATAGGCGATGAAATGAAGTAGAAGGAATTTATATATGGCAAAATAGGGTATATAAACATGGCGAGAGTTCTTAATGACACGTGAATATACCTAGTGGAATTATCAGTACGCATGACTTTTGATGCAAAAATTTGTGTAACACAAAAGAAATATTTGATGGTTTTGGCGTAAAGAAAAGGCAAAAATATGGCATATATGTATATATGTTTGTGTGTGTGTGAGTGATGCTCAGCATACCTGCCAGCATGTCTGCAAAAAACAAACGGACAAACAAACAAACTTCACAAGTAATTACTTATCCTATACAAATTCACTAACGAAACGACAACTTGTGATAATTTCGTAAAGAAATGAAACATAAAAATTATAAGTGTAAATAAAGTTGAGGGAGGCATTGAAACAACAGTCAGTCAGCCAGTCACTCAGTCATGTATCAATGAATATCATCCTACACATGAACAATCTGATTAATACTGTTTTGATTTACATGATTGTTTGTTTGAGCGAGTAATTCTTTTGGATTCAACTCCTCTTTATCATTACAAGAATGGATTTCTTCATGCCAATTAGATTCTGCTTCATTATCAATCCATTCATAACGATCAGATTTATATGTGGCGTTAGGCGGTAACAATTTTGGCATTCCAAGTTGGTCTTGATTAGCCGGTGACTTGACGACTGTAGACTCTTTGATGAATTTACTCGGGGTTGTTGTTGTTGTTGCTGTAGCTGGTCCCATGATCCAATATTTGCTATCATTCATATGATTCATACTTGTCAACTCATCATCATATTCATAGTTTTCATCATCGAATTCTTCAAGATCAGCTAATCTTGGTGTATGAATTGGTGATACTGAATTACTGATCTCATCACATGGTATATTGTTATGCGTATTATTGAATGGATTTGTCCTGTGCACTGTCATTGGTGGTGAATAGATACACTGATTTCGTGCAGGTGTTGAATGATTTGGATATTCCATACTTCGAATTACATTCGTTTTCATGCCCATAAGCTATACAAAATAAAAATGATGAAAGTGTGTGTGTGTCAAAAAGCGAGAGAAATACTTTATTAAGCATCTTTTGGTGAAAAGTTTTATTGCAAAAAAAAAAATCAATAATCATCACTTCATCAAATTAACCAGGTAGAATAGAAACAACAATTGACAGTTTGCTTCAATTCTACAGACCTTCATTAACAGTTGTCTTCGCTCAATACTCAAGATCAGATGGCTGGTCAGAAAAGATCAGCAACAGAGATCTCTGGCAATGAGCGAACCAACTCAGCAGGAACCGATTGTGAAACAAATAGGCAGGAAGAAATGGAGATGGATTGGCCATACTCTAAGGAAAAATCCATCAAGTGACATCACTAGACAAGCCATTGCTCGAGTGGAACCCGACTGAATGGGAAGCGGCGAGTTGGTCGTCAGTGCGAGGGTGGGTGACTTGGAGGAGGTCATGTGAAGAGGAGATGAAAACGTGTGGACAGACATGGAGCCAGGTGAAGACTCTAGCAGAGAACCGAACGCAATGGAGACGCACGGCTGAAGCCCTATGTTCCTCTAGGAATTAAAGGATACAGTAATAATAATAATAATAAAATTCCATGTAATTTAGGCATAGAGGAACATGTTTAAGTTTACATATATATGCGTCGGTGGCACAGCGCTTAGGACGCTCGCCGACCATGGACATGGTTCAGGGTTCTATCCCCAGCCGACGCACACTTGATATCAATAGTCGGCCTGCTAAATTTGGGCTACCGATATCACATGCTGAAAATTACATACTGGTACCAAAATACTGTTTGGAATCAAGCTATAATAAAATTAAAATAAATAAATAAAATAAATTAAATGATATATCCCCTTAAGCCGGTCTGGATAAATTTAAACCATCGGGCCCAGTCAGAATATTTATTACAATGCTATTGGACAACTTTATGGCCCGAACTTATGCAACCAGTTAAATTAATTTTTTATTGGCTTAACTTTCCGAGGTGGGTAATGTTTATATGCATATATTTTGTATGATAAAATATCCATTGCTCTCACCGGCTGGGACTGTCTTTATTTGCATGGCCTCTGGGGGTCAGGAGTGATTAGAAATAGGTGTCAGTATCCGATCATCAGACGAAATACTTATTACATTCGCATATCAATCCCTTGTCGCGACATCACATTTAGTGCCAGTCATGTCAACTCGTATCAAACTTTGGCGACGTTATAGAACGCAAACAGTAGGATTGTTTTTCATATATATATATATACCGATTGGTGACTAAAGCTAACCACTGTCATAGTTGTATCTAGTCCTTAATGTTTGTATTGACTGGATTCTATCCGTCAAGTTTGCAATGTAGTGAAAGTGGAACTGATGTATCCATTACAATCCCACAGGAGGTGAGTTGTAAGCCCGAATAGCTGAATGCTAGCCTCTATAACTGCGGTGTTTAGTGAAGAGTTTCAGATCAACGTTGCAGATATGACTATGTGACGAGTATTAGTAGGCATGAGACCCCAGGTTCATAGCTTTCTACGGATTCCCGCCAACCACATGACGTCAATTCAGAGAATATGTTTTTTGAGCTTTGTTTTATATTTATTTCAAGATTAACTCAACAGACCTTTGTATAATAACAGGGAAATTGGAAAATCTGGTGAATGCTATTTCTGAGTTGTCACTATAGCTATCCAATAGGCTCTGTTGGTCATAATTCTTTTTCCTCTGTTGCTGGCTTCTTTTTACTATTTCTGTCGTTTATTCATTGGAGTAAAATAGCCAACATTCCTAGCAAATAGTCAGCAGCTAGTATTTCTATGGATAATCAGTTCTCTTCATAGATATCCTTATTAGTAATATAATCCATTTGAAATTCTTTCAAAGATAATAATTTAGGTAAAATAGTGCATTTTAATTGACTACCTAAAGTTGGAAAGTAATGACCGGTATATATTTTATTTTACTGGCTTATTAACGCCACATTTGTTGTGTGATATTAGTAATCTAGTGAAACTGTAAGAAAAGGGACTATGACAGAATCTGAATCATTGGATTTCTTCATTGAAGACCACGGATAACTGGTCAGCTGTTTCATTCTAGTTTGGAACTCTTCATCAGTTCGCACCTGCGATCAGACCATGGGTTGAATCCAAGACTATCATGTTGCGAGGCCAAGTGTGTTGACAATTCAGCGACCTGGGCTAGCATTCAATGACTTGTGAATTCTAATTTCGTCATTTAGTCATGTGGAGCGACCCTCACTAAGCTCTTCGATTAGTATCCATTCCACCCTGACATTGTGAATCCCATTGGTCACGACTTCTTAGTAGAGCTTCAGGACATCCATCCATCCAGTAGGCATCAGTGAACTGGTGACTGACATTCAGAATGAAGTGGATTTTCATCGAAGGCACTGGTGAGGGTAGTTAGAATTCAAGGCTTGTTGAGTTCCATCCCAAGTGGTTGAATGGTCAACCACCTTGGTCTCGTAATCTGAAGATCTCTAGTGCAGTCGTGGATACGTACTACTGAAGAGCCCTGAAATAACACAAGAAACAGCTGTTCAGTGTCCCCTGGCTTTCAGTGATCTCTCTAACTGATGTTGCTCCATGAACAAAGAAGTCTAACAGTTCAAATTAATCCAAATCCTCACAAACTTCATAATATGATGGCATTCTCAGTATACTATTATATGTTTACCAATTTTGTCTACTTATTTTGGTTGGTGATGAAACATAAACACCTTTATCTTAGTGTATTATACACTTGATTGAATGACAACTGGTCAAGTGTTAACATTAAACTGATTAATTTAAACAAACTATTTGTTCAATTTTTCACTTTATCTATTTCATTCCGTTAATATTTGAAGCTGTTAACTGTTTAATAACACCATTGTAAAGCGTTAAGAAAAAACAGTGAGTTCATGCTGTGAGTTTTATTTATGTGATGTTGTCTATAAACTTAAATGTAAGTAATCCGAATTGACTGAAACTCGTTGAGAAGCGAATCAATAAAAATCTCAGTGATTATTCTTTTTCACTTATTTATTAAAACTTGAAATGTTTGTTTTAGCGCTAGATTGATTAACATTACAAACTGTGAGTTAGTGAATTATGCATAATATGAGCTCGACAAATGTAATATTAAACAAATGAAACAATTTTTTTTGCATCTTGGTAAAGATGATAATTATACCACACTGTTGCTCCTGTCTATCCCAAACAAAATACTAAGCCGCATCATCCTGGTGAGAATCGAACACACCCTGGATGATAAACTTCCACCGGAACAGACTGGATTCAGGAGAAACAAGTCATGCACCGATCAAATCGCAACATTACATATAATCACTGAACAGAGCTTGGAATGGCAGTTACCTCTCTACCTCACTCAAATTCATCGACTTTGAAAAGGCCTTCGATAGCGGTCGAGAGGTGATTGGAATACTTCGCTACTACGGGGTACCGCCAATAATTATACACCTCATCCAACAGTTGTACGATAATGCTGCATGCCAAGTAATCCACAACGGGAAACTCACGGGATCCTTCGAAGTGAAGACGGGAGTAAGACAAGGCTGGCTGCCTACTATCTCCAATGATTTTCCTGACTGAGGTAGACTGGATAATGCGACAGATCGCGGGCGACGAGGAAATAGGCATATAATGGACCCACACAAAAGACTTGGAGGATCTGGACTTCACCGATGATATATGTATGATTTCCACAACTGAAGATATAAATGAAAAGCAACAAGTTGGCACAAGAAACATCAAATATAAGACCTCACTTCAGGTGAACATAGAAAAAAAAAGTGATGAAGATTCCTGGTCAACAGCAACAGCAACAACAACAGACAACAATCAGCATAAATGGGAGAAATCTGAAAGAAGCAGCCTCCTTTACCTACCTACCTACATGGGAAGCATCGTTTCAACTACAGGCGGACGGAACTGATGAGGATATGAAAGCCAGGATCGGGAAAGCAAGGCAAGCCTTCATTTCTCTCAAGTCTGTGTGGCGGTCAACAGCACTCAGCAGTGAAATGAAAATAAGATCTAGATTTTCAACTCCAGTATGAAGTCAGTGCTACTATACGGATCAGAGACTTGGTGCATCATGAAGGGCACTTTAAACAAACTACAGACCTTCATCAACAGCTGTCTTCGCCCAATACTCAAGATCAGATGGCTGCCAGAAAAGATGAGCAATATGGAGGAGTCTCTGGGAAAGAACCAACCAACGCAGCAGGAACCAATTGTGCAACAAATAGGCAGGAAGAAATGGAGGTGGATTGTCCATACTCTGAGAAAACCATCAAGTGAGTGACATCACACGCCAGGCCATTGCTCGAGTGGAACACGAATAGGAAGCAGCGAGTTGGTTGTCAGTGCGAGGGTGACATAGAGGAGGTCAAGCGAGGAGGAGATGAAGCATGTAAACAGACGTCGAGCCAGATGAAAAGGTTGGCGGAGAACCGAAAGCAATGGAGACGTGCGGTTGAAGCTCTATGCTCCTCTAGGAATTAAAAGAAACAATAACAACAATAATAATTGTTGAGCCTGAAACTAAGACGTAAAATCCGACAAGGGATCCATGAGTTTCAGTTGTTATTCAAGTTAGTTTGGATTTTCTGTTGATTAATTGCATTGAACGGAAATGTCTGTTCTTTGTTAACATGTCAGCTCCTAGTATGAATACTTCAGAGACGCCTGATGTCATTTTGGTTGATAGTGACTGCAAATGGAATCAAGGATGAGTATTAATCTTACTTGTGATACGTCGTCTAGATATATCTGCATCTACAGTGTGACATTTTTCGCACCGAAACCTGAATCATGCACCAGCTGTTTCAAACAGCGAAGCGTTATCCACTAGGACTACTGGGCCACCCAGGGTTCAAGTATCTGCAGGAACACCATCACTCATCGAGGATGCAGGTATATCCAGTTAAAAAATCCTAGATAGGATGAAATAAGCATCTTGGATTCTACTGCTAGTCACTATCAGTAATTCTCTAACTTATGTCTGTTTGTGATGAAATTATTCAATATCCCCTACGAACCTCAATAACTTAACAGTAAAATATTGAGAATTATATGGATTTATAAAACAACTCTTCCATAATATGATCAGTATTCACTAATCATGAATTAAACTAACCTGTAGATCATTCACAGGATTAGCAGTTAATCTGAGCGTTGGATCTGTTTTCAGATTAGAACCACCAAAATCAGCTGGCTGAGATGCAAATCTTCTACGACGTGTTGGTTTAGTATTAGTCCTTGGTTGATTTCTACGTACATACCAGACAGCTGCACCAATTATCAACCATAGTATTAATGCAGAGATCGATAAACCAACAATCAAGCCAGTATAATTATATTGCGTCTGTAAAGTTAAAAAATAAATTTAACAGAAATTAACTAAGATTACAAAGGTAACTAAGTGAAGTTCAACATAAATATTTATCTCAGGGTAGATTTCGTCACAAACTGACATCAGTCAAGCAGTCTTTGAAAACGATGGAGAACTGGATAGTTGTTTCACCCTATCTTAGGACTCATCAACGGTACTCATTCACCACGCCATCAACGATTAATTCTACGGCTATCATACTCGTTGACCATTCAGCTTTCCAGTTCTCCTTAGTTTTCAGTGACTCTTTATCGGATGTTTGTTTGTGACCAAGTTTAACTAGAAATCAATCTTATTCGTCCCAATGGTTGGTTGGTCAGTGGGCTCGCCTTGCAACATGGAGGTCCTGAGTTCGATCCATGGTGGGGTTATGGGTGCGTGTTGTCAAAGAGCCCTAAGCTGGGACGAAACGGCTCTTCCGTACTACCCGGCCTTCAGTGGGTTTTTAAATAAAGTCAGTTCGTGATCAATCTTGACGTCAGTCAAACCCCTGCAAGCCAACAGCTGAGAGTAAGATAATAGTCAGTTCGCTATTGGTTAAATGAGGTGAAATCACAGAGGATTACAAAAAACCACTAGGCGTCAGTTAAAATTCAGGATGGTACTGTCCTACTGATTAAGTATTGGAGATTGATTCATATATAATTCATCCAAACAAGAGTTAGCTATACTTCTGATGAATTGATTGATAGAATGACTAGTTGCGATTATAAGTAAAGTGTATATGTATTCGAAAGCTCACATTAGTTCTACCCAGTTCTTGAATACACCTTATTGGTGAGTTCTCTTAATTACAGAAAAATCAGGTCAAGGGACTTCCTGTAGACTGTGTCAAAATAATTCGTAGTAAAGTCTGGGAGACTGCATACCGAAATCATGTGAATCACCTATTAATAATGTCGCTTGGAGACTACTATGGCTTTCTTCAGTAACTTTATTTGAGATGCAAAGTTAGGTTGTGTGATAAACGTAACCAGGGGTCTTTTTGTCTCTTTGCATTCCAAGTGGAATATAGGGCTTCACGCCTTGAAGTCTCACTAGACGTGGTGATGCTTACCTTACTCCCAACCTCCTCTCTTTTCCAGGCTTAATAATGGCTAGTGAACCAGGATCGGAAAGACAATAGAGACCTTCATTAATCTGAAATTAATGTGAAAATCTAATGCGCTCAGCACGAAGAACAACATGAATGCCATACTGCGGGTCAGAGACTTGACGCACGTATCACGAAGAGCATTTCGAATAGGCTTCAGACTTGTATAAACAGTTGCCTTCACTGGCTGCATACTGAAGATGAGATGACCAGAAAGGACTAGAAACAAGGAACTGTGACAAAAAATCAACCAAGAATCTACTGACCAACAAACATTCGGAAGAAAATGGAGACAGATTGGACACACTCTGAGGAGACTATTCAGGCACATTGCATGCCATGCCCTCGAGTGGAACTCGAATGGGAAACAAAGATTTGGATGTCCAATTGTGACATAGAGGAGATCGTGTGAGGTGGAGATGATAGCCTATGCGAAGTTGTGGAGCCAGCTAAACAGGACTGCAGAGAACAGGATTAAGTGGAAATATATTGTTGAAGTCCTACTTTTCACCTAGGACCTAGGGGGATAATAAACAGTAAAGTAGGGAGTGTGTCAACTGGGAACAGAACAGGGACATCCTGCATAACTTGCGAACAATCTACGGATAAACCGCTGGAGTACATTTTTTCGTTTCTTTAATAGATGGCACACCAAGAAATTCAGCTTCAATAGACGCTATGAAATTATCGATTACTTTTAGAAAATGGCTTTTTGAAAGTCTTAATGGGATATAAGATCTTCTACATTTGTTGTGATACTCACTATTAATAACACTTAATATAAATAAAAAGTGAAAACGGTAAATAATTTTACCTTTTTATCTGTAGTCTCACTGTTATATTCACTTGGATTGATAGGACGTAGACGACTTAAAGTTTTATCTCCTGAGTCTCTGCGTTCTTGATCCGATAGGACATAATGTACTGCATCCAAATTGGAATTAGACGATGAAGAAGTCTGATTTGAAATGAATGCACCCATTTCATTTACAAGAGATTCTGTTTTCGCTTCTTTACCTTGAATAACAATCTAAGTTGAAAAGAAATTTTCGGAGAATTAATTTTTCTTTATTGCTTAATGAGAAAGCTTAGTGAAGTGAAAAGTATGAAGTAAAAAGAACTACAAATATAGCCGCCTATAGTGATTCAATTTATTATGGGATGAATGGTCTGATATGAAGAGCAAAGTGACTTTTTTCCCGTAGAATCTTTATTTTTTGTTAGATTATAATTGATTTTTATTCAAGTCAGGCTCATGTACTAACGAGAACTTGAATCCTTTATCTATCCAGATCTGTATTTTTTCCTTAAAATAGCTGATATCTTATTAAATCTTTTATTCCACGCCTCCGGCAAAAGCGTTTTTATAAACAATAGATTTTAATGACTTCGTTTTTGCATAAAATCAAAGCCCAGGATACTTATTATAGTAAGAGGAGATTGGAAGTTCGCTAGTGATTGGCTACAGGACGAAGCTGATCGGAGTTCTAGTGAGAAGTGGTGACCTGGCATGAGGACATCGCTGACAACAATGGGTAGTGGTCACGATAAAAAATCACGAATTGGTAGAATTTAGAATTTATGGGTCATTGGATCAGGTCTCAGTAGTTGAATGGTCTACAAGCTTGCCTTACAACTGGAGGGTCATGAGTTCAAACTTCAATGGGTGAATACTACTGAAGAGTCCCAAACTAGGACGAAACAACTATCCAGTACTCTCTGATTTTCCAATGGTTTCTAACTGATGTCAGCTCATGGTCACACTTGTAGATATATTTTACAAGTTCGCTGAGGATTTGTTTCGAAGTGTAGTTCACCTGTCTAATCATTTGATTTCAAACAAATGAACCGCAGTTTCACAAAACACTCTATTTTATTCTGGACATTTGGTTGGTATCATAAACTCTTATACATGAAGTATGACTCGTAATCCAGTTTATGTAGCAAAAATGCTTACTAGTCTACTGACTGTTACTGCTTTATTTTTATGCTCTGCATTAGTAGACTAATAAATAACCCTGCTACTATCACTACTACTACTACTACTACTACTACTACTACTACTGTGGTGTGTGATACTGACAAGATTTCATAAGTAGTATATCATATGTGATGTCTTCTGCAAGAATACTGAATCACAGAGCAATGGGTCAAGTTGGGAAGAGAAGAAATGAAAGATTCTTCTGAAATAATACAAGAAGCATGGAAAGAAGACAAAAGCAGCACAGCATGTAAAACATGTGCAAATGGAGATCTCATGGTTTCAAGGTTTCTTCATTTTACCATGACGGTACATCATTCTGTCAAATAAAGAAGTCTGCTACCAAATACTATCGTGTTTTGCTATCACACGACAACTTCTACTGTGGTGAGAGCTGGCTGTTAGCCAAAGTTGGTAGACAGTAATTGACGTCAATGTTTATGTCCCCAATATTGGTGGTGAGAAAATGAGAACAAAGGCTTTGCGTAGGCGGATACAGTTAGCATATGGATGATCTGACACAGCCACAAAGAAATGCAAGGTTAACTTTCTGTGAGAAACAACCAATCAAAAGACTGTATTTTCTACTAACAATAATCTACAATAATGTACATTAAAATCTATAAATATGTGTTGATTTTCCTTAATAAACGATCTGTTGCCTGGCCCTTGTCTTCTGTTGTTACACTACTATTATGACCATAGATTCGCTTCACTTTTTTTATTCCTTCACGTTCCCAGTGGAACATAGGGCTTCAAGCTAGAGGCTTGAAGTTTCTGTAGCAGTGGTGTTTATTTTTACAGGATGGGGTTGCTGGCCTCATGCCCAACCTTCCCTCTTCACCGGTCTTATTACTAGCTTATCGAGGTAAAGGGGTGCGTCGGCCGGGGATCGAACCCCGGACCATGTGCATGGTCGGCCAGCGTCCTAACCACTGTGCCACCGACGCTTCACTTGCTTCTTCTAATTTCACTTAAGTGTTACTAAACAGATTTGAAAACATGCCTGTTATATATAAATTCATAAACACTCAACGTACAACAGAAATAACTACCCAACCTGCTTAAACCTTGGGCTACCAAATTTTCCATCCTATATATTGCATCTATTTCCTCGTATTTATTTTATTTTAATCATTCAATTATGTATACTAATCGCATTGTTTACTCTCGCGATTATTTAAAACGTTTCCAGCCGGCTGATTTACTGGTTTCTAACAAACTTAAGAAAAAGTCTTATGGCGGATGGCAACGAGCTTTAAAGCGTACTCCAAAGCATTTGATGACTGTTCCTGTGATTATGAGCACAAATTGCAGATCTCTACCAAACAAGATTAATTATTTGCATTCTCTATTATACTCAAATGTATATTGTAATACTGCTGTAATTACTTTTCAAGAAACTTGGCTGCACGATTCATATGACGATAATTTAGTCTCTTTACCTGATTTCACAATGTACAGACAAGACCGATGCAGCTCAAAGAAGAAGAGAGGTGGAGGTGTTGCCACTTTTATTAATTCTTAGTGGTCTACTGCCAACAACGTCTGCTTCAAATTCTCAAATGACAACATTGATTGTATAACTGTTAAATGCCGACCTAAACACTTATCTAAGTATAACTGCATTTTTGTCACAAATATCTATGTCACACCTTCTTGCAGTCCCTCAGAACTATCGATCTTTGCTGACGAATTCACTATTTTTGCTGCTGCTTCGTTTGGTAACTCCTTGTCTGTAGTAACTGGTGACTTCAACGCCAGTGACTACAGTTTTATTACATTGCTGGGTCATGAAAATATGGTTAACTTCCCAACTCGACAAGATACTTCGCTTGATTTAGTATTCATAAATGATTCTTGAATATACGAAGCTCGTAAAAGAGCTCCACTCTCAAACTCTGATCACTGTATTGTACGAGTTCTACCCAAAGTTTACGGAAAGTTACACAAAAAAGCCTTCTCTGACTTGTCCAAGAAAGTTGTCCACAGATGTTACTCAAATTAGAATGTACAACATCTCAGAAACATGCTCAGTGACACAAGATGGGATTTTTTGTTTCACTTGATGACACTATCTCTAATATTACGTCTTATCTGAAATTCTGTTTTGAAATCTGCTTCCCAAAAGAATCACTATTCGTCAAATTCGACCGTTTCTCCTCCCCTCAACTTAAAAAGCTTCGTAGAGAGAAGGAAAAGCTATATAAAATGAAAGATAAAAGTGGCGTAAAAAGAACTAACTTCCTTATCAAGTCTGAAATGCAGAGATTGAATGTTATATATAACCAGAAATTCATATCCTGCAAAAATGCTTCAAATATGTGGAAACTATTTAAGGAAATCACTGGTGGTAAGCAGATTAGCAATATTCCGTATTCTTCTGATGTATGTACTCTTAATAAATCTTTTATTTATTCTCCCTCAAATTCCATGCTTCCCAGTATCACTAGTGTTAATAGTAGCCCCTTTCCAGGTTTTAACACAAATGATGTTCAAAAGTGCCTCAAGTCTCTGAACCCTTCCCAGAGCTTAGATCCAGATCATGTACCTAGTATTATTTTCAAAAAATGTTCTGATATTCTATGTTACCCTCTCACTGATCTGTTTAACAAATCTTTTTCCAGTAATACTGTGCCTGCTGTTTGGAAAGACATTAAAGCTGTACCCATACCTAAATTGTCTACTAGAGCATGTGTCAAATTTAGACCCATTGCTATTACCTCTCCTTTTTTGAAAACTATGGAGAAACTACTTTTACTTAGGCTTGTACCCTCTCTTAAATCCTTTAATGACCCAAAACAGTTTGCCTATAAGCACAGTAGAAGCACTTTAGATGCAGCCGCCGTCTTATATCATAACATTGCTTCCAGTCTAGACAAAGGGGCTAAATTTGTTCCTTGTGCCTTCCTAGACTATACATCTGCTTTCGACTAGGTCCCTAGGGACATCTTGTTAAATAAACTTGCTGTAAGTCAAACAGAATGTTGGGCTGTTAACTGGTTACATTCTTATTTCTCAGAAAGAAAGCAGTACACCGTATATAAAGGGAAGTATTCGACTTCATTACCTACTGAAGCTGGTGTCCCTCAAGGCGCTGTCCTTTCTCCTTTTCTTTTTTCTTTCTTCTTAAATGACTTGCCTCAGTCTGATGAAATAAATTTTGTGAAGTACGCTGATGATTTAACTGTTTCAATGGCTGTTAACTCCCAGCTAGATTGTACCAAAATAAATAGCTTTCTGCCGGAAGTCAGTAAATGGTTTGAGTCTAACGGTCTAAAACTGAATCCTTCTAAATGTCAAACTGTTAATTTCAGCTTAAGATGTAAACGACAGTTAAAAGAAGCCGTCGATTCTCATGACAGTTGTAAGATTGATGACAATGATATAGGAATTAAATCAGAAATTAAGTATTTTGGACTTATTCTCTCTTCTGATCTCTCCTGGTCTTCTCATGTCTCAGCGATCTCCAGTAAAATATTCCGCCTGACATTTTACATTAAGAAGTTAAGGCACTCGGGTATAACTCAACCCCTCCTCTTACAGTTCATAAACTCTTGCGTCCTACCTATTCTTCTGTATTGTTCACTCTTATTCTTTCCTGGTTTGCTTAAAAAGGACTTTGTCACAATTCGTAGAATGCTGAAGACTGTCAGTAGGATGAGTGGTGTCCCAGTGGACTACATAGTTAACGTCGTTGTTGATAGGCATTTGACTTCGTGTAGTAAATTTGCTAAAGGGATTTTGTCTGACTTGGAGCATCCACTTCACCCTCAGCTTTCACCTTGCATCTCCTCAGGTAGAACAAGAAGTGACTTCAGAAAACTGTATGCTCGCACATCTAAGTATAAAAATTCTATGATACCATACTTGGCACGTATTTTATGTGATGAAAATAGCGTCAGGCAAGAATTGACTAACCTTTTTTCATCTAGTAAATAAACAATCTCCATCCATCTTTATATACTTTCAAGTTTCACTTTTATTATTTCTATTATATTTATGGTCCTGTTGATTCTTTGTTTTTACTTTCATAACTGCGAACACCAACTTATCTCTATGACTGCTGTAATCTTTGTTTTTCCCCTCACCATATCATGGAAAGAGAACATTATATTCAATATTTTTAGACATGCAAGGATTTGTATACCGCATCGACAATACTGTGTGAAACAAGCCCACGGCAATTTTCACTTGTATTATTATCATTACCTTAGTTGCTACCATTACTATTATTTCCATTTAAATGCTGCATGTTTTTTTATATTTTTATATTAACCCTACTGTAAATGTAGAAAAATTTTCTATGTGATTAATTTTATTTATAATTTGAGGAAATTAGATGCAATATTATGATTAATGCTGAAAATTCCATTCTGTATCACAAGTACTGTTTTTGGAATAAAGTAAATCATTATTATTATTACTAAAATAAGTTATGAGATACAGCGACCATTCGAATGAATGACCCAGTATTCAATAGCTGTAGCAACAGGAGGAATTCAAAGACGAGCAGCCATTTAGCAACAGACACTTTTTATCAACTAAGAGGTTTGTATATGGCACCCTTTTACAGTGGGTAGTCACAACCAAGTTCATAACTGTGAGATTACATGGCAAGAACACTAATATCCAGTTATCTGATAGAAACTCAATGTCAGGTGATTTTAGACTTCCACTAGAAACAGAGTTATGCAACACAGTTATACAACACAAACAATTTTTAAAAAAAAGTAATAATTAAGCACTTACAGGATTTTCATCATGAGCTGACATTAGTTAGAGAACCATTGGAAAACCTGGGAGTACTGGACAGCTGTTTCGTCCTAGTTTGGGACTCTTCACAGTACGCACCCACCGGGATTCGAACCCAGGACCTTCTGGTCCCAGTGGCTTAATGGTCTACGAGCTCGCCTTGTAACCAGAAGGTCCTGGGTTGGAATCCTGGTGGGTGCGTACTGATGAAGAGTCCCAAACTAGGACGAAACAGCTGTCTAGTACTCCCAGGTTTTCCAATGGTTCTCTAACTAATGTCAGCTCATGATGAAAATCCTGTAACCAATCAAATCTCTACAAACCAACACTTGAATGAAGCACTTACTTTAACAACAAATTCAGGTGTTGTCTGTTTTCCACTATCCAAACTGCATACTAAACCAATATTTGCCATATAAATGATTTCTGTCTTTTCATCAATTGCCTTCATTGAACGTATATTTTTAGGTGGCCAAAATCTGAATTTATGCAGGAGATTAGCATAGATTAGTGCAGGTTTACGTCCTCTCAGCTGTATTCCACTACGATCAGCCATACCAATTAACTGATAAGATTGAGTTTCATCTATAGGCCAGTCAATACGTGCACCAAATTCTTCGTATAATTTTGGTCTTATATTTAAACTGATTGGACTGCCAGTTGATATAAGCCATACAAAACAATCATCTAATGGGACAATTGCAGCAGCTTCAGAAGGCCCAGAGGAATCAGAAACTAAAATATAATTTAAGCATGTAGGTTATATTGTAATAATAATAGTAGAGAAGATTTATAACTCAGACTGTTGAAATTGATACGGTGGTGTTGTTTTTTGAGATGCATCTTCAGAGCAATCTTCAATGTAAAGTGAACTTATCTGAATTCCTCATGAATGATATAACTGTCTATCGTGATAACTTTTGTCGTGGTTGGTTGTTAGTTGTTTTTGTGACTTAGAATTTGACATTTTTATCCCGTCTCCGGTAATTATACTCCTTTCTGCAAATTTCTGTTTATTGCGGTTTCACTTCATATTGAAGAAGGACAACGAAAGCTTCGCAGTGAAATCACTCAGCTCAGAGGACGCGACTACATCAAATTATATTAAATTTTTGAGGATCAATTTATTGATAGATTTCTGTTAACAACCAGTATATTAGAATTAGTTGATAAAAACCTCTGATTCCATCGTCTAAAGTGACCTTTTAAACAACACATTAATGGTGATGTCAACTGACTCACAAAGAAAGAAATATTAGCGGTTACAGATGTTATGCAACCAACTTAAAACTTGATGTTAGCAATTTAGCGATGTAACGGGTGGTGGTTGTAAGTTAAGTATAAGTCTGAGCCAACGACCTCCGGATTATTAATTAGTTTTGAAAGTGTATAGTTGTCAGCTTCAAATAATCAGTTTTCAGATGAGCTTTTTCAATATCTTAATCTGTCTCGTAGATTTTTTTGTGTTAACCTATGCAAATGATCAGTCTGTTGAGATGTTGTGACAGCTGTAGGACGAAATGTTCAGTTATAGCACTTTTGGTTCAGCCAATGGCAACTCACAATCAACGGGAGCGATTTGAAAGAGGTTACTTCATTCACTCACTAAACTAGGGAGCATTGTCTCAACTACAAGAGGAACGGACGAAGATGTCAAATCGAGAATCGGGAAGGCGAGAAACACATTCATCAACCTGAAACCAATCTGGAAATCTTCGTAACTCCACAACATCAACAACAAAATTCGGATTTTCAATACAAACGTCAAGTCAGTCAGTTCTTCTATACGGATGGATCAGAAACTTGGCGGGTCACAAAGAATATTTCCAACAGCCTGTTGCAGGCCTTTATCAACAACTGTCTTCGTCCTATACTGAAGATCAGATGGCCGGAAAGAATCACCAACAAGAAACTATGGGAACAAACAAAACAAGAATCAGTCGTTCAACAAATATGCAGGAGAAAGTGGAGATGGATTGGACACTCACTGGCTGAGGAGGCCGTTGGGTGACATCGCGCGTCAGGCCATCGCTCTAGTGGAACCAGAAAGGGAAGCGGCGAGTGGGACGTCAGTGCAAGGGCAACATGGAGGAGATCGTGTAAAGAGGAGCTGAAACAGTATGGATTAACATGGATGCAAGTGAAAAGTACAGCACAAGACAGAAGCAAGTGGAGACGTGCAGTTGAAGCCCTATGTTCCACTAGGAACCCAAGTGAACAATAATAATATAATAATGGCAACTCGCTGTAGTCTTGCTGGGTAACTTTATTAAACACTTTTTGAGGGGACGCTCAAAGTATGTAGATTGTTTTACGCGTGTCCTCTTAAGGCGTGTTAGTGAACACTATTTAACATAGCTGTAAAGGGGTGGGGGGCTCTAATATACTCAGAAGTACTGTTGTTGAAAACCTTGTCAGCATCTGTTACAACATCTTAACCACTCTGAAGTTTCGTGACATAAATGACCAGATGATTCCTTTAAGATTGTAAAACTTCCTGATGACTCAGTTGTCTATTATCAAAGAATACTGGCCATTAAACACAGAGATGCCTTTCTTCCTGTTTATCATAATTAGTAGAAATAACTGAGGCACATACTTATCTACATAAATTAAACATTAATGAAACAATGCACCGATACGAGTCGAGTAGGTAAGGAGCGAAAGTAATCACTTTCCTCGAGGAGCAATGATATGATTATGAGCAATAATGTGCGCTCGAGACGTCATCAGTAAGTATTACTGTATAACACTGTGTGATTTTATCAAAATAAAATTTTATCCATAATGGAGTTATACTCTACCACAGTGCCCAAGTTTTATCCTTATATCTCTGACTGATAGTTTGAGACATGTAAGGTGGTTTAGACTACCCGGTTAGGGTAGTTGAGATGCCACAGTTTAGTGAGAATTTCTACGTTGAGAATTCAGTCCGTCATTTATTTTATTTTGAATTACTTTTATGACTTTTGTTAATTAGCAGGAGGTTAATCAGGTTGACTACAGGTACAAAGACTCGTTGGCAGGGAAATTAATGTAGGAAACCTTGGTAATATAACTATGTATGTGATTACTGAGTTAAAGAATAAAATATATGTAGTCATATATATATATATATATATATCGGAAGTTATGACGTTTGGAAAATAACAGTGCAAGATAAAATCTACATTAATTCACCTTGTTCTGTTGGAAGGCCAAAACGAAGATCAGAAAACAAAGGGATACCAGGTGGATTTATTGGTGGTTCAGTAGTCACAATATCTGATCCAAGGATTATTAATGATGGAGGTTGAAGCGGTTTTGTTTCTGTATCATAATTAGCTCGAGATTCAATTACAGCCTGTGAAATACTAGGACGATCAAGGATATGCATATTAGACGGAATCCATAATGAGGCATCCTTAGGCGATTGAGAGATTTGATCAGAAATTTCATGATGTGATGATTTTAGCAGATCGGTCACTGTCATCGGTAGAACATTCAATCGAATTTCTGCAGTTGGTATAGTGAACTGCTGGTCTCCAGTACATCTGTAAACAAAAATATTATGCTTTTTGACAGTTTACTTTTAAGAGGGTGACTTTTTATAAATAATAATAATAAATAATAATATATTTATAATATGCATTGAAACAAATAGAAAAGATTTAGGTTTTGACCAGCTCAGTAAATTAGCTCTCATCTGATTCTCACTACTGATGTGATTCAGTGACCGGTGGGGTGTGAGTACAAATACCCACGGCTGACAATGGTTAACAATTGGGGATATATCTCAAATCGGCAGAAACTGAAAATTATGAATCACTGATTTCTGACTTAGTAGCTGTAAGGAAATTTTCCTGACTAGTAAGCTAACGCTCCTAGACGCAATCCCTCTAGCCGCTGTTAGTGAATAGTATTGATAAGTTTCATATTAGGATGGAGCAGCTGCCCAACGCTCTATGGTTTTCAAAAGTTTTTCCCGTTGATATCAGTTTGTAATTCACTCCTTAAATGAAAACTGTAGATGAAAAGATGTGTCCTCTAAACTACTTTTGGCAAAGTTCAACAATAGCGTCCCAAGGCATGCGAACGCACGAATGACCTTCAGCCAACCAATCAGAAAAATGAGGAATTTTTGCACAAAAACTTACGTATATTTACATGAAAAGCATGAAAAAAGTTAAGCAGGGTACTTTTCTCTAATATGAGGTAAAAATATGTCCCAATTATAATGGGAAGTGTCAGTTTTTAAATTAAATCAATTCCTATACATGTATTTATCTAGGTGACTAAAAATAGCTCGGTTTTGAGAGCCATTTACTGCCCTTATTCTATTTTTGAATCTTGCCCAGAAACCCTCTGTTGAATTAGTATGATTACCGGTTCTGGGATGGACTAAATCATAAGAATCGTTAACTCGATGGTGTATATATCCTAAATCCGATAATCGGTTAAATCCTGCCCATTCATCCGCGTGTATAGTAGTGCCAGGCAAAACCAGTCTCTGAGTGATAGGTAAAAGAGTGTCGGCAATCCTGTCTGGAGTAAGTCCAATGAATCCTTTCCGAATTTAGGTGTCATAAATTCCCAATATCCAAACGTTATTAGCTCTAGCACGTCCTCTATTGTATTTTTTCTTTATGAGCACCGTTTCGCCGATATGAACAAAAAGACCAACTCCTCCCAACACTTGTGTAATATTGTTCATTTTCCCTGATCCTAAATCTCGACAAAACTGAGACCACTGCACAGTAGACGTCACCGTATTTTCTGTCTGAGCCGCAGTTGACCTCACACCGGACTTCAAAATCCATTAATCGCAGAGAAACAGTATATTCATCAAAGAAAGTTTTGATTTAGCAAAATGTTCTCAGAAAACAATTAACTGAGAGTGTCACTTACCAGTACAAACACTTGTTCGTTTTCTACACTCCGTACATCTAAATATATATCCACCAATGACCTATGAATACGGTTGCAGGTTTACTGAAGCACCACAGCTACATATACGAGAACGTTTCATCAATCCATTTTCCAGACATTATTGAAATACGTGATCTGGGTGAAATTTGCACCTGGGCAGATGAACAGTGTTCATTTTCGCGCTAGAATAGTTGTAAGTTCCTTAAGCCAACGACTAGCATGCGTTCAAAGTCATTTGGGCGTTCCCACTCCTGGGACGCTATTGTTGAACTTCGCCCTACTTTTTAGATCATAAATACCACACAATGCCTTAAAGAATGTATACCATCTAGGCAATAATAGGGGATTTCTTCCATTGATAATTTGATACCTTCAGGTTTCATTGTTATAAGAATACGGATTTGGATGCTATGTCATAGTATAATACCATCAAGAAATAATCTTATTTGATAAAAGCACACAATGATACAGTATTATTTACTGATGGCGTTACCAGGATAATTTATTGCACACAATCGTATTAAGGCACTCACATTACTTTCAAATTTCGTTTATATGCTTCGATTGTTTCGCATCTTTTAATTTTATTGGTAGTAATATTTTCCATATTACTGGTATTAGCACTGCGTCATTCCTATTGTAAATGTTTGGTGTAGATTAGTTGAACAAAGAAAGATTCGATGATTCGCCTTTAACTCTGCATAACTATTTTACTTTTTAGAACTGTTGCTCTGTCACACTCTTCTGTGTGTGTTGGAGCATGTATTGCAACTGCCGAGGATTTTTATAAATCAATCATCTTTTTGGTTAGTTAAATTTTTATATTCCGATTACCTGACTGAACCTGATCTATTGGTCTGACCTATGTAGCTGATCTTACAATCGTTGCATAGTATTTTGTGGATCTCAATTTCGCTTTAAGAGTTTGACTTCTAAATATTACTGAGGCTGTGGGGATCCATATTAATAAGCCTAATTTATGCACCCAAAAGAAGTTAGTTCAGTCATTATCATTACCTTGGCCATCCAGGTTTGAATAATCCAGAATTTTTGTGAAATTTCCCTAATTTTAGTTGATATTCTATTCGCTGTTATATCTTTATTATTATTATTATTATAATTTAAGCATCTTTACTGAACTGCAATTCCAATGTGATCATACTTTACAAATCGATATTATTTAAAAAAACACTAATATTGTTATTAACTACTAATTTAAAATATTCTGTGTATATAAACATATATATAATTGTAGAGCCTGGAAGAGGAATTTATCGAAAAGAATATTCTTTGCTCGATTATTTTGTGTTTTATAGATGTCTGAAATTATTTTGTTTAATTGTGGCAGTAGGCTCTTTCAGTTTACAGAACTTATCCCTGAGTAAGTGTGTACGTTTAAATGCTACGCAAATCTTATTCTTTATTAAGAATCCCTTCGTTACATGGCAAAACTGTAGATGCTTTAAATTCCTCCTTATTTATGTTCTGGACAATAGGTTCACTGCTATTTTTCCCCTTATTGTGGACTTTTTTGAACTTCCTAGTGAATTTTATGGGATTATTTGTTTAAGTTAATTTTTTAAAATTTTTGTTGATTGGTTATATTGGACCGAAATATTTAGTCTCTGTTGACATGCAGACTGTCGGTACGGACTCTTCGACGATGACTGAGGAATAACGTGATGTCATCTGGTAGATTGTGACTGGTAGTGGAAACTAAATGACTGCCTGTAAACAGCGTGTTATCATGTCAGCTTATTGCAGGAAAGTGAAGGCTTCCTTTCGCCGAAATTACACATGTAAAATGTTTGAATAGAAGTAATTTTTAATAAAATTGTGTAATATTTTATCGAGGGTGTAGAAAACTAGGAATTGCTTAGGTAGCATGTTGGCGTGGTGTGACTGCATTACTCTTTAAATATTGGTTGCAAGTGTTTATGCATCCTTTGAACCGTTCTGAAATGTTGCTAATATAACAAGAAGGGAGTAGTTGGAGGGTGATATTTCACAGTAAAATAGTTTATTTTTTTGTAACAGATTTTCTTCTGTTTGACTTCATAGGTTTCTAAGAATTTTCATTGTTATTGAAAGGAAAGCATTGGTCACTTTCGGTTATCTCAGTAGGACGGATTCTACTGCTAGTCACTATGTATTAATTAAAATTTTATGGGATTTGTATTTGGCACCAATGCTTTTTCTATTATTTTCCTGTCACTAATAAGGGTTTTTAGCATAAATCTTAGTCTTTTCTCTCTATTGGTAAGTTCTTCTTTACAGATGAATGACCCAGAAAAACCTCGGCAGTTGCAGTGAATGCATCAACGCGCAATCACACAACTGAGAGGGACATAATTACAGTAATTTAGTTCAATGGGGAGAGAAGCTGAGAGTATCTACACCTAACACGTACTATAGGAAAGATGCAACGCCACTACCAGAGATACGGAAGATATTGTTATTAAAAAAATAAAACATAATAGTAATATATAAAGGAGTCTGAAAGTTATGTGACTGTTCTGAATGATTATGAGCAATAAATCGTTCTCGAAACATTATCAGTAAATTATACCATATCATTGTGTTTTTTATGAAATACAGTCATTCTATTATGGTAAATTTAGTTAGCTTTATATTTTTTCTGTGCTATAAAGTTTCGGTAGGAATTCAACTTATTTTCGAGTATAAGGTGGTTAGTCCTACGCCTAACCTGCCTTCTTTCTCCGAGCCTAGAATGGGGTAGTAAAGTAGGCGAGCGAAATGAAGATCTGCTGTCTAAGTCGTATGTTCCACTCAGGGCCCAAGGAAATAATAGTAATAATATATTTAGGTATTGAATATGGTCAAAAAATTCCTACTTTTTCAATTTATCATTCGTTATCTTGTAAATTTTCAATATATATATATATGCCCGACCGAAAGCTGCTACCTTGACGTGGTGGTCAGGCTTGAACACCGCAATGACCCAACAAGCTATACTGGCTGGAACTTATGTTCCTGCAGGTCCTACCATGCCAGAAAGGTTGTTTGGATAGCGGTTAGACTAAAAGCAGTTACCCAATCCAATCCTATGACTTCAAATAAACCACAAAATATCATGCCGGATCGGTCGGGGCCCGGATTAACAACGACCGCGCTTTCTGCTGCCGTGTCACAGGGCAGAAGTGATAAATACGCTACTGAGACACACCAAATGAAAAACAACAAACAAAAACAGGCCGTGTGTGACCGGCCTCAAGCAGTTGTTCCCTGGGCTCTGCGGTCACGCAACCAACTTCCACGGTGTGGGCAGCCGGGAAGTAGCGATCGCCCTCACAATCCGAAGTGCACGCGAAACCTCTCTAATAACTTAATGGCTCTTCACTTCCTCTTCACTCTGTGTGCACTGAAAACGACGGAAGCCAAAAAACCACCATATCATTCAGTTACACCGTAATATGTGAATGACATCGGCCGGCACAAAAGCAAGCACACTACTCAGTGAAATATTAAAAAAATACGGACACTTTCTGTCACACGAATATATTTTCAAGAGTTAGTTTGTAGGGGTTTGATTTGTTTCAAGTTTGATCACGGATTGATATCAGTTAGAGGACCATTGAAAAACATGGAGTACTGGACAGCTGTTTCATATTAGTTTGTTTATTAGATGTATCACACAGTCAGTGAAACAGTATTATTTACTGGATGACACAGTTTCGAACAAAATTTATTGTTCATAATCATCATCAATTGTAATCACACGACTTTGAAACTTGAGTTTTATAGTTTTCTTTGTCCTCTCCTATTTGTCGTTGGGGGTAGTAGAATTTTCCAGATATCTGGGACAGGTGCTGAATCATTCCTATTACATGTATTTGCAGTTGATTCGATAAACAAAGCTTCTGTTATCAATCTCTCCCTCCACCCTGTGACATTAGATTTTAAAACTGTCATCCTATCCCATCCTATTGTATGGTTGTGTGTAACTGCATGTAGCGAGTGCTATAGCTGAACTATTCTCTAGATTTCTTATCTTATTTGGATCAACCAATCTAGATTTTGCTAGGTTTTTATGTTCAGCTAGTCTGACTGCCCCTGTTCTACTAGTTTGACCTATGTATTTGACCTGATAATCATTGCAGGCAGGGTATTACATAAACTAAATTGTTTTGTTTTAAAGGCTCTACAGAATCCTTTAACCGACAAAGCTTGTTTCTAATTGAGTTTGTGGGTTTGAATGCCATTTTTATTCCTGCCTTGTTAAGAATTCTGCGTAAGGCTTCCGAGGTTCCTTCCTTGTATGGAATTACTACTGATGATTTAGATTCCTTATTGTTGGTGTCGTCATTAATATTATTATTATCACTATTATTATTATTGTTATTATCACTATCGCTACTATCATTATTTATTTTATTTTTACATTTCCTTACATATTTCTTGATTAATTTATCCGGGTAATTATTAAGTTTCAAGGCTTCTTTTATGTGTATCAGTTCCTGTTTTAGATTTTCTTTAGTACTACTTAGTTTTTGTGCTCTGTCATTTAAACATTTCACCAATCCTATTTTCACTGACATAGGATGGGATGATTGGAAGTCCAAATATCTGTTTGAGTGTGTGGGTTTCCTTAAACCTAGTGTTTAACTTCCCATCTTCTTTCCTTTTTACGTTGCAATCTAACATTGGGAGCTCCTCTTCCTGATTTTCCAATTCATAAGTGAATTGAATTGCTTCAACCTTCGAGTTGATGTGTTCGAAAAACCTATCTATATCTTGTGTTCTAAGTACAGTGAATGTGTCATCTACATACCTCCACCACACTTTTGGGGTGGGGTTGAACGTTTCAATCGCTATGCTTTCCCACTTATCCATGAATATATTTGCTACAACTGGGGATTTTGGTGATCCCATGGCAACTCCCTCAGTTTGTTTGTATATTTTCCCCTGGAATTTAAATACTGTGGAAGTCAGGCATAGCTGTACTCCCAGCATTATGTCCTCAAGTGGCACTTTTGTCTTAAGTTCGAGTTCTTGGTCAGAAATGAGTTCGTTTCTGACTGCCTCCATAGCCATATTTATTGGTATACGTGTGTATAAACTGACAATGTCAAAACTAACCATTTTTTCTTCATTATCTAATTTTAAATTATCTAATCTGTGTTTTAGTTCATAAGAATTAGTTAGTCTAGATTTCGAGTGGATTTTTAGGGGATTTAATACCATGGCTAAATATTTAGATAATTCGTAAGTAGGCGAATTTCTAAAATCAACTATAGGCCTAATAGGGTATCCTGACTTATGAACTTTAACAACACCATACATCCTACTGGGGTTATTAGTTTTGGGCATTAAATTAATATGGAATTACTTACTACCACAGTGCCCAAGTTTTACACATATATTAATAGGACAGCTGTTTCATCCTAATTTGGGACTAATTCTTGAAAAATAGTCTGATGCTCGCTAATGACTGGATACAGGACGAAGTTGACTGGTGTTCTAGTGAGAATCCATAACCAATGGGGTCCATCCAGTCGACAGTGAGGACAAATATTTACCGATGACATTGTCTGACGGTAGTGCTAAAATCATGAATTAGTTTAAGTTAGAATTCATGGACTGGTCATTGAGTCGGATCCCAGTGGCTGAATGGTCTACGAGCTTGACTTGTAACCGGAAGGTTGTGGGGACTGGAACTGCTGTGGGTGCTTACTGTATGGAGTGGCTGTCCAGTACTCCTCGGTTTTCAATGGTTTTCTAACTGATATCAATCCATCGTCATACTTAAAACGTGAATATATGTTTTAAATATATATTCAAATATGTTCACTACCAAACAGAAAATCAACAAAAAACAAGCAGAAAAAAAAGAGATGTTGAACTATCCAATTACCTGTATGTTGTTAAAAGTCTTAATAAACGAGCTTGTGCTACATTTGGTACATAATTGACACTAATTCCTGGTTGAGGTCTAGCATAAGCGATTGAAGTCAACACATCGATCACGTGATTCACATTCTGTCCACTAACAGTAATCACATCATTTTCTAAATGTATATCAATATCTGGACATAATACCTGTAGAGAATTTTCAAAAAAATAGAGTGAATTTTTGAGAAGAAATCATATCAGTTTACAGTATGTGAACGAGACTATAACTAAAACCAAGGTGTTTTATCAAAGAAAAGTTAAATAAAATCTCAGGGCTGACAACGATATAAGGCATATTACTAGACTACTCAAATACATTAATAGTAATAATAACATCTTTATTCTGGACAGTAACCTCGCCTAGATTACTAGGTCACTAGTATTCTAGCCGGTCCCAAGCCGGGATAAAGAGGGAGGGTTGGGGCGTGGTGCTAGCAACTCCACCCCCAAAACTTAACCAAATTGCTACTAAAACTTCAACGCACAAATATATTCAAAATTCTAAAAATACAAACAATAACCTTATTTTTCGCTGGAATCGGGGAAGTGGAATGACGCAGGCTGGTGGAAGCCTTCGGGAAGCCAGTCAGCCGATGTGCCTTCTTTCGACGAAAGCGGAAATAAGGATGGGGACGTGAAATATTCGTACAATGTACGAAACTGGAAAGGCTGCTCAGGTAGCCGCAGAAATGAGGAGATATAAAATAGAAGTGTTGGGAATCTGCGAGAGCAGATGGAACGGATGTGGAAGGTGCCAACTACCAGCTGGAGAGACAGTAATCTACTCCGGCCACCTAGAGGACGATCACGAGCACACCGAGGGAGTAGCCATCATGATGTCACCATTAGCGGCTAAGGCTCTCATACAGTGGGAACCAATCTCCTCCAGGATAATGACAGCCAGGTTCAACTCAAAAAGGAAAAAGGTTACAATAATTCAATGCTACGCGCCTACAAATATCTCAGAACAAGAGAAGAAGGAGGATTTCTACAGTCAACTACAAACAGTAATGGACAACGTCCCAAAGAGCGATATCAAAATCCTGATGGGTGACATGAATGCGAAACTGGGAGGAGACAATACAGGAAGAGAACTCACCATAGGTCGCGAAGCCCTTGGTAAAATGAAGGACAATGGTGAACTCTTCTGAAACTTCTGCGCCTTCAATGATTTGGTGATTGGTGGCAGTGTGTTCAAACACAGGGATATACACAAGGCGACATGGATTTCACCAGATGGACACACCGAAAACCAGATAGGCTTCATTTCAATTTCAAGAAAGTGGAGACGGAGCCTACTGGACACAAGATCGAGGAGAGGAGCAGATGTGGGTTCAGACCACTATCTAGTACAAGGGACTTTCAAGGTGAAACTAAAGGCCTCGAAGATACCTGGAGATAGGCCACAATGCAAGTTCAACACTCAATCTGAAGGACACAATCACACAGGACATTTTCACTGCAACTGTCAGAGCAAAACAAGAAACACTACGTGGCACCACTGAGGAATCATCCGTGGAAGACCATTGGAACTCTCTGAAGGTGATTTTCAATGAAACGTGTTCTACGGTTTTAGGAAGAAAGAAGAAACAAGACAAGGAATGGCTCTCAACGGACACTAGGAAGCTAATAGAGGGGAGGAGAATGGTGAAAGAGAAAATGATTCAATGCAAAGATGGACAAGAGAAAGAGACGCTGAGCTCAACTTACACAGCCCTGGACAAAGAAGTGAAGAAGAGTGCGAGGAAGGACAAAAGACAATTCTACGACAACCTGGCTACTGAAGCTGAGAAGGTAGCAGGCAAAAGGGACCTGAGGACACTATATGAGATAACCAAGTCTCTATCCGGGAAGAGATCAACACAAGTGAAACCTATAAAAGACAGCCAAGGGAACCCAATTACCAAGGAAGAAAGACAGATTAAACAATGGGCGGATCACTTCAAAGGACTCTTGAACCGACCACCACCAACAACCCGTCCGGAAATACCAACAACAGCATTCACACAACTGCAAGTTGACACCAATCCTCCAACGAAAGCTCAAGTATTGAATGCAATCAAGCCTCTGAAAGCTATAAAGGCAGCTGGACCAGATGGAATACCCCCTGAGGCACTGAAAGCAGACCCAGAGACGACAGCAGATATATATTATTGCAAAAAGTCTGGAAGGAGGGAAAGGTGCTCACTGACTGGAGGGAAGGTTACCTCGTGAAACTACCAAAGAAGGGCGACCTAGGACTCTGCAAGAACTGGCGAGGAATCATGCTCCTGTCGACGCCAAGTAAAATCCTGAGTCGCATCATCCTCGAGAGAACAAAGGACACACTGGATACAGAACTCCGACCAGAACAAGCTGGATTCAGGAAAGGCAAATCATGCGCTGATCGAATTGCAACTCTACGCATCATCATCACAGAACAAAGCATGGAATGGCAATCAAATCTCTACCTCAACTTCATAGACTTTGAGAAGGCCTTCGACAGTGTTGACCGCGAAGTAATTTGGAAACTACTCGAGTACTACGGAATACCCCAAATATTCATCAACCTTATTCAACAGCTGTACGACAACGGCACATGTCAAGTGATCCACAACGGAAAACTCAGTGAGGTGTTTGGAGTAAACACAGGAGTCAGACAAGGGAGCTTATTATCACCAATGATATTCCTAATTGTGGTGGACTGGACTGTATTATGCGTCAGACAGTGGGAAACGAGAAGACAGGGATATCCTGGACCGACGTGAAGAACCTACAAGACCTGGATTTCGCGCGTGGATGATTTATATTTGATGTCACACAAAATCGAAGACTTACAAGCGAAAACCGACAAACTGGTCGAAGAAGCAGCAAAGACAGGACTCCAGGTGATGAACATAGACTATACGGAGGCAATGAAAATAACCAACCAACAACAACAACAACAGCAGCAACATCCAGCGCCAATCACCATCAACGGGAGGGATTTGAAAGAGGTTACTTCATTCATTCACTTATCTAGGGAGCATTGTCTCAACTACAGGCAGGTGGAACGGACGAGGATGTCAGATCGAGAATCAGGAAGGCGAGAAACACATTCATCAACATGAAACCAATCTGGAAATCTTCGTCACTCAGCCTGCATCAACAACAAAATTCGGATTTTCAATACAAACGTCAAGTCAGTCAGTTCTTCTACACGGATGGATCAGAAACTTGGCGGGTCACAAAGAATATTTCCAACAGCCTGTTGCAGACCTTTATCAACAACTGTCTTCGCTCTATACTCAAGATCAGATGGCTGGCCGGAAGGAATCACCAACAAGAAGCTATGGGAACAAACAAAACAAGAACCAATGGCCCAACAAATATGCAGGAGAAAGTGGATATGGATTGGACACTCGCTGGCTGAGGAGGCCACTCGCTGGGTGACATCGCGCGTCAGGCCAGTGCTCGAGTGGAACCCGAAAGGGAAGCGGCGAGTGGTTCGTCGGTGCAAGGGTGACATGGAGGAGATCGTGTGAATAGGAGTTGAAACAGTATGGAATAACATGGATGCAGGTGTAAAGTACAGTAGAAGACAGAAACAAGTGGAGGCGTGTAGTTGAAGCCCTATGTTCCACTAGGAACCCAAGGGAACACTAATAATAATAATATTCTGGACAATACTTAGAAAATGTACAGAATTTTCAGATCAGTTTATTGCATGATATTTTCCCTTCGTACAATATCTTCAAGTAAAATATTAATTGACAGTATATCCTGTGACAACAATGGTCTCTGAGCTGAAGTACAAACCATTCCATTATCATATATCTGCTTTGTCTCCTTCCTTCAAGAAGTCTACGCCATCGATCTAGTTGAAAGCCATTTGTAAGATGAGACCCAAGGACATAACTGAAGAACACTTATCTCATGTATTGGAACACGTTGCCACCCACAATCAGGTCTTTCCTCAAGTTTAGTGGGAACTTGAGGATCAGAAGCTCGTAGACATTTTAAATACACACAAGAGAAGATAATGCCATTAGAGATCATATCTTAATCGATTAAAACAAACGGGAGGAGAGAAAATATATGCAAAAGAGAGATGGAAGTTTTTGGTAGCCCAAGTTTTAAGCAGGCCGCCACTGAGCGGCATCCAACTTCTAGTTCACTTTATAACTCAATGAACTTGAATGACTAAACAACATATCTTAATGCAGTTAGTCAGGCTGCTTACAGCAACTTTAAATAAAAAATCCAGAAACTAGTGTAAAGTCATCAGTTAAAAGTAGAGGAAAGTATAATCTTCAGCAGGTTTCAGTGATACAGTGTAGGATGGACTCAAGAAGTATACCTAATCAAGAAATGAGTGAAATCAAAGGTATAAACAGGTTCTATGTTGCCTGCATTCAGTTGTTATCATTAAGCAGAAAAAACATTTTTGATTGGACACTAGTCAGTTACTAGAGTAATGTGTCTAGTCCTATCTTTGGTGCAGACTGAATTCTATCAGTCAAGTTTGCAATGTGGCGACCATGCTAGGTAGCTCGTTATACACAGTGCCCCGTGAATTGTTGGTATTAGATGTTTGGAGGTAATCAGCAGGAAGTCTCACCTGACCTAGGTTTCGTGCTAGTTGGCACTCATCAGGAAAAAATGACTGATAAAATTCAGTCTGCATCAAAGATAGGACTAGACACATTACACTAGTTACTGACTAGTGTTCAATCAAAAATATCCAATAGAGCCCTACAGGAGGCCAACCACGAGTCTGAATAGCTCAGTGGTAACGTCTTTGACTACAGCACTGGGTGATGCGGGTTCGAATCTCAGAATGGACATAAGTACCTTCGAGGTTGTAAATACGCCTTGCTGACTGACTGGTGAGTGCCAACTATCACAAAACCTAGGTCAGGCGAGACTTCCTACCGATTGCCTCCAACCATCTAACACAATAAACATTACTACATATTTAGTGTCTTAGGTTTGTAAGGACTTTCGATTAATGTCGATCAAGCTTCCATCAGAAGAGTCCCAGGTTGGGATGGAACTACTGTCAAGTTCTTTCTAGTTTTCAATGCTTCTCTAACGAATGTTGGTTCATGGCGAAATCTACAGTGAAATCTACTGCTAACCACCATCTGCCAGTTAACACGAAACTGATACAATAAAAGCATCATTGA